AAACAAACAAACATGTATCATTAAATGGCTTTTTAAAAATATTAATTAAGGAAGGCTAAATGGATACAGAAGTAGATAACATGGTGCTCTCCAGATCTTTTGGACTACAGTTTATTTATTTAGTATATTTATATAGCAGCCTATCTCACAAAGACGTGACTCTGAGTGGTGTACAAACATAGCAACAGTTAAAAACTACATAACAATCTAAAAACAGTCAAACATAAATAAACATTTAAAAAAACCAAGATTGCAGGAGAACAACAGTCACATGACCTCATACAACCACCTTGCAGGCTCCCTGTGGGATCCCCAAGGCTGTTGAAAAAAACATGTTTTAAGGGCCTTCCAGAAGGTTAATGGAGATGGGGCTAACCTCACCTTGGGGGGAATAATGTTCCAGAGGGTGGGGGCCACAGCAGAAAAGGCACACCGCCTGGATCCCGCCAGCTGCAGCTCCTTTGGAGACCGAACCTGCAGCATAACCCTCCTGTTTGACCTGGTGGGATGGGTAGCTGTGATCAGGAACAGGCGGTTCCTCAGATAACCTGGCCCCATGCCTTGTAGGGCTTTAAAGGTCAAAACCAGCACCTTGAATTGCACTCAGAAGCAAACTGGCAGCCAATGCAGCTCATAGAGCAGAGGTGTAACGTGTGGTGGTCTAGTGACACACACAACTGTCTGTGCAGCTGCATTCTGAAGTTTCTGGGCGCTTGTCAAGGGCAGCCCCATGCAGAGCGCATTGCAGTAATCCATTCTGGAGGTGACCAGGGCGTGAGTGACTGTGAGTAGAGCCTCGCAGTCCAGGAAGGAGTGCAACTATTGCAATGTGCTCCACATGGGGCTGATGCTGACGAGTATTTGCAGACTTCAGCTGGTCCAAAATGCAGTACTACATACAGTATTGGGCACACCATGATGGGCACATGTAACACTACTGCTACATGAGCTGCACTGACTGCCATTGGGATTCTGGGTGCAAATCAAGGCTGCCGCCTTTAAGCCCTACTTAGAATGGGGCCAGGTTACTTGCAGGACCACATGGTTTCTGACCATCCCACTAGATCAAGCAGAGTGGGCATGCTCTGGATCCCATCAGTGAAGCAGTGTTACCTGGTGGGCCCCAAGAAACAAGCCATCTGTGGAACAGCCTCCCCCATGAAATAGCCCTGACCCTGCTAGCCTTCCAGAAATTATGCAGAACTGGCTCTTCCCCCAGGCACAGGGGCCAGGATGTTTGTGGGGTTCTGGTGTGGATGTTGTTTATCTGAAGAGCTGATCAGGTGATTTTTAGGGGCCTCCCTCAACCCAGTTTCTTTTAATGGATCTGTATGGTTGATTTTTATTTCTGTTTGCCACCCAGAATTCCTTAGGTAGGTGGACAGGTATATACACTTAATAAACAAACGGACAGGCTCCGAGCTGTTGGTCTAGAAGCACACTGGGCAATCTTGAGAAGGAAGCCTATTTTGAATCATGACTATAACGACACACCTCTAGCTGACACTCCTTTGTTATATAACATTGCTCAGCTGGATGCTGAATCAAGAGCTTCATGCTGGATCTTTCCAACTGCTAATCTGAATGTTTTACCTTCACCCTCTTGGTAAAGCAGGATTTAATCTACATGGCAGGGTTAGTAGGAACAGGACAGCCTAATGCTGAAAACAGCATCTCTGTGCTAAGTTTTCTGGGCCATAATATAATAATAGCATAATTTGCATTTCCTTCTCTCTGCTCTATATTGTTGCTGGAAGCGGGAAAATTAATTATATGATGATGTCACAGTACTAAGTAAGAGATCTAACCTGTTATTGGGGAAAGGGAAATAAGTTTACACAGAAATGCTTTAGGGAAGGATCCAAGGGTGAGCTGAACCCTAATCCTTGCTAAATTTGGGGAGATTATCAGAGTGCATTGTTAAAAATATAGTTTAATCAAATTAATGTTGAGACCTTGGAAGATAGCAAGAGAAATGTGAAAAGGAGACCCAAAGAAGGGTCCACTCACAGCAGCCTGGGTGCATTAATCTTTTTTTATCTCTCTAAACTCATTTTCAGAAGAGCAAGAAAAAAAAAGGTGAAGGAACCAGGATGTCTTACTAACTACTTACTACTTTTCTGCCCCCTCCCCACTGCAAGTGGAAAACCCCTTAAGAAATTGGCAGCACAGCCTTGGGGCTTCCATATGTTGGTGATAATATCCAATTATTGTATCTGAGTATAACTGCACAAAATGAATGAATAACTGTGAAACATCAAAATAGTTTTAGATCTGTGATACCTCTTTCAGCTTTCCTCCTATGGAGGTCCCGGTCTGTTCTCATCACACTCCAGTTCAGAATTTTTGGACCTTACTCTTTCTTTCTGAAACATTTCCTAGGGAGCTGGCATTAAGATTTTCAGTGGCACATCCCCCTGTGGTGGTAGTTTTGAAGCCAAATGGTGAAGTCATTGCCCCCAATGCTGTGGAAGAAATCAAGCAGCAGGGCATAGCTTGCTTCAAGAACTGGCAGGAGGCAGCTGATTTGGTGGACAGGAACTTCCTCTTGGCTCAGGACTTTGAGGATTTGACCCTGAGAAGTATCACTGATCCCATTCGGCGATTCAAGTACAAACTGGCAAAGAACAAAAGGAAAACGAGAAGTAAAGATGGTGATGAGGATGGAGTCTCCTGATGGGACATTTCTTCCTTTTGGAACTTCAGGTTGGTGAACTTGAGTCTTCCCAAACCATCACCTATGAACAGGCATATGTGTCCACTAGTTATCTACAACCACACTACCCAGACACAGAAATTGTTAATTGCAGGTATATTTTCAGTTTTGAAAGTCTAAAATCTTTTTTCTAAAAAAATCTAGAGCTCATTCTATGACATTATTATGTATGTAGTGTTTATTGTACAGTAATTGGAACATGGGATGAACGTATGTCATAATGCACTCAAGGTATACAATAGGGCTGTGCACACTTTGAAAATAATTCAGAAGTGCTTCAGACCTCACATGCACACAATACCTCCCAGCTGCTCATTAAACAACCCCTCTTTCTTCAGGCTTTCTCATGAGCCTGAAAAAAAGCTTGTCTATTTGACAGGGTGAAATTATTAAAGTTAACGTGACCCTTAAAGAAGCCACAACTTTTTTTTCATGCTTTAGGCAGAAGCCTGAAGAAGAGGAGATGTCTTAATGAAATAGCAGAGGTGCTGTGCTCATGCTTGCCAGATCCAAATCACTTCTTCCAAAATACAGTAATGTTAGAAGTATGCATGGCTCTAGGAGATCATCAGGGCTACGCTGAGCTCTTTTCCTGGAATAACAACAAAAACCATGCAAGATAAAAGTGAAAATGGCTTTGCTTGAACATTTTACTGTAACTCTTCCGTGCAGATCTACCTTCTGGTAGAATCCACCAGCACTTTATTGTCTGTGACCTCTTATTTAATTATGGTTGGGAAGAAACCCTTTCTCTCCATCTCTCAGCATTTCTTTTGGCTTTCTGGCACACATAGTCTATCTCCTTGCCAGGGGCCAACCAAGAGTTCCTCAAGCGATTCTTCCTAGTAAGTGGTTCTTGGAGAGGCTGCTACCAACTCTTTTAGTAGAGAGGAGGTTTTTCTCCCTGGCCGAACCAGGAAGTCTCTGTGTGTTTTAACTCTCAGGTTTGAAGCGACTATCTAAAATCTGATAGTTTGCCTTGCCAGTGAGTGCCACCTAAGGGACTAGCCCTGCAATGCAAGCATGCAAAGGTGTTCTAATAGAATAAATCCAAATATGCAAAGCCTAATGTGATGACCTAATACTATCCTTTTTCTACAGTCATCTCTCTTACTTTTCTTTCATAGGAACTCTGGATTAAAGGAGAACCTTCCTACTTTTTCTCTCAGTCACCATCAGCCACCTCCAATTTCCAAATAACTCTCTTTCTCCTAATTGCCAACATCTTTTCCTAGAGACCTGATGAAGGCAGGGAATTTTAACTCTATAGTACAATCAGCCCATACAATGGTGCTAATAAATTTTCAATCAATGAAAACCCAACTGCTGTTTTTAGAGACCAATTGTACATTTTACTTTATCTGAAACTGGAAACCATCCAGAGCAGGGGTAGGCAGAATTTGGACTGGAGAAGTAAAGACAGAACAGTATTGATTGTTAATAATCAGAAATTAAAAAAATAACTTAGATAATAATATTAGTTATGTGATGTATGGAATAATGAGTGGGAATTATTTTTTTTAAAGAAGTTTAACGCATGGCAGTTGAGGCAACACATACCACCCATTTTTATCAGACCCTTTAGAGAACATTTAACTAGGATTAGTTACAATCTCCCTGTTCTAGGAGATGAAATTCAGGAGCTGAAACATTAACTCATGTGATCTGGGTTTGTTTTGTTATTGCTATATTTTGATCTGAAATTCATAGTACTGTCAAATTAAGTCTAAGTCAAGAATTTATGTTTTTTTTCTAGCTATATTCCTAGTAATTGAGATCTACTGAGGTATTAAGAATTATGGATAATCATCATCATGAAAACCTACAAGTATTATTTTGTCTAATTTGCTACAGTGGATTATTTGTTTCTAATTAGTATGGGTCCTGTTGTTTTCCCCAACATGGGTGCCCAGTAATCTCGTTGTTTGATTAAATAAATAAATAGAATTAAGAAAAAGAATGTTGCTTAATTTCTTGTAGTTCTTTCTATGGTGATATATTTTCATGCACTTGTTAAAATGTTTTCTTTTTTTAGATCTAATATTACATCATGTGTTCTTAGATATTATCTTCCTAACGTAAGTCATGTGGTATTGAGATATCTGAAATCTGTTGAAATTGATACTAGGTTCTTTTCTTTTAAATTTAATAAAGAGAGGACGAAAGGGAAAAAAGCTTTACCTGCTGATTTTTGCATATTGGACTTCTGTTCCAAGAACAAGAACAAGCTGGGCTGTTTTATTTTGTTTTTATCTTTTTTCAGGCTTGTTAATAACATTTTTGTTTTCTTTTTTGATAAAAATCTTTTCTTTCCTGGTTAGATTATTTACAAATAAAAGGCCTCTGTTCCTGAATTTTGAATAGCAGCGTAATCTTGCAAATTAAACACATATGGCACAGTGTTTAGGAGGCTGAATACTATATTAGAAAGCTACTGATTTGTATTTAACTTCAAAGAATGAATTCACCATGTGGTCTTAGCCCATTCTCTGAGGAGTCTCAACCCCAACCTGCATATGGCAACCTGGTTCTACTTTACAGGGCTGGTACTTGGATTATAGCAACATAATTAAATATGGAACACTTTGGACATCCAAAAAAGGTCATGCTCTTAGCTGAAAGAGCTTCTCCACCTCAGTATATACTGACTTAGTCTTACAACAGCCTTGCAAGGCAGGGACAGGCAATCTTGTTAGCTCTGAGGGCTATGTCAGCTGTCAGATCAGGGGCCACAGAATGTGTGCACTTTCAGATAATACACATGCACAAACATTCATTGCATGTAGAATCACACACCTGGGTTATCCATCTCTACCTTGCAATAAGTATTATCTCCATTTTGAAGAAGTGCTGAAAGTCATAAGATAAATTTGCTTAGTATTACCTTCATGATCATGGTACCTTTTAGCTGCTTGGGGCTTCAATTTTCACCATCCTTGTGGGTATCATATTTTAGTTTTTTAACCATTTCCCTCTTTTTCCTCTCTCACATTAAATTTCTGCAATTTAGCCTTCAGGCAAAAGAACATTTTCAAAAATGCAGACAGCCCTTTTCCCGTTCAATTTTGACTCCCATTTGGGAAAGTTCTTCTTCCACCTGTGGCCTTTGAACCACACCCTGAACACTTTTCATAGGGATTCAGGTAGGAAGTGGTTAATAAGAGAGAGTAAAGCAGGAGGATTGACTTCCTTTTACATAGGATAGAGATACTGTGGGAAGAAGCCTCTGATTTCATCACTCCCGCAAAAGGAATGTGGAAAATCCGCACTGCCTGTCGTTCTTGTGTGTGTAACCCAAATGGCTCATCCATTCCCCACAGATAGGGGATGTGTCCTGGCATTTCCGCATCTAGTTCTCGGATGAGACTGAGACTAAGAATGGCAGGCTGCAGCTGGACACGTTCTGATCTCTTAAGGTACAGCGTTTCAAAGAGAAAGTGAGCAGGAGATTCACTTTTTGGGAAAGATGAGGCATCCTTCTCCAGACTTAATGTCACAATCTAGAGAACACTTTAGTTCAATCACCTTTTTGGGAACTCTGTAAAGAAGAGTTTCCTCTCTTTTTGAGGAACCATATTTTTCTCTCTACAGAAAATGCAGGGCTCGCTTTGGAGCTGGGATGGTATTTCCCAGAACTGTCAAGCTGGACATTTTATTGGAAGCCATTTTGTTCATCTTATAATGGTGAGAGATTGAGGACATCTATTCTTCAACCCATCTAGATCACTGCCCTCCTGAACTTCACTTGAATTATGAAGATTCTTCAGCTGCCCTTGGTGGACTCTGACTTATCAGAGGAATTGTTAGATTTTTGTAAAACGTCAGAAATATCTGTGTCTGGAAACTGAGGATCATGCACTGAGGAAAAGCACGCTGAAGACCTGGAGGCTTGGGGATTAATTGGGTTCATGTGCTACATCAGGTTCTGGAGCTAGTAGGATATTCCAGTAAAGAACAGAATAGAGTGTTTGCTAGCACTGAGGAACAGCAGTGGTGAATATAATCTCTGACTGGGGTCCGAGGACCGAATACGAGCATGGATCAGAATGACTTCAGCTGCCTTTGCAATGGCCTGCAGTCAGCACTGGACGTTCAGTCCTTAGCCAATAATCCAGAGCTCCTGAGTGCTATCTGGGCTTCTGTTCAGATATCTGCCACCCCGGAAGGCCTGGGTGGTAGTGAACTCTGCTCTAACAGGCTGCTTCAAGTCACCAAGTACCTAAGAGACATAGATGAAAAATTCCAGTGTTTCCGGGAACTTTTACAGCAAGATGGTAAGTACTGGAAGCATTTTATTGGTCTGTGTTTTGTGGATTTCATCTTGCACATCCCCTGGGAGCACAGAGGAGACTATTATCCCATGAAAGCCCTATGATGTAGGATGCCAATTGAATCACTTATTTCAAATTTTGCATTTTGTTTAAACCACAGTTCTCTTCGGTTTCCAGAAGTCCATTTTTTCCTCAAAGATATATTTAAATAGTGTCTCCCCCCCCCCCGCAAATATATATTAGAATACAAATTGTAAATACTTTTCAGCTTGCAACTTTTGGAGAGGTAGCGGATAGCCTAACTCATTGCCTGAGCAGATTATTTACATAAAATTGCAAAGACGTTTGTAGTTTATTATTCCCAAAATCTAGCATTGTAGTCACTGCCCTCATATGAAAATTGTGTTTCTGTATAACATAATACCAACTCAGAAGCCTTATGTGTTTCTCAAAATGCAGGAAAGATGTAAGACTTAGGAATTACTTGTCTGTAACTACATGTAATTAATTGTTTTACATGTATAGCTGGCCCCGTCTTGTTTCTGAGTTAAATAAAGACTCTTTAAGTTATCCCATTAAGACAGAATGAGGTTAAGAGCTAAACACTTAATGACCGCAAGCCTAGTGAAACCAGTGGGCTTAAATGTGCTTAATGATGTATTGGATATAGCCAGTGAATGTTATAGCTCC